CTGAAGCCTGCTTCCCTGTTCTCTGTGGTCTACATTTCCTTCTCATGGAGCCCAAATTTCTTACAGGTTTCATTTATATAACCTCTCAAAAGTTCCTTTCTCTTTGGGAGCCGAATACACCACACACTGACCCATAAGAGTTATCACCTGTTTCCATAACAACACAGAAAAATTATCATTATGTGTCACAGAAGGCAACTAATATTTCGGTTTCTTACCCACGTAGGTCCTAAAAAACTGGAAGTGATTATCACCTAACTCTGACTTGCTTCTGACCAACTAATTTGCCTTAAACCAGAGGTGGGAAAGTAAACAAGGGCCAAATGTAATGGGGAGGGGGAATGACACAGTCAGCACCCTCATTAACAATTAAAAGCTACACACAACCAGAAACTATATAAATACAATATACAGAACAGTAAAGTAAAAGAGTTCCTCTGGATTTTACTCCGCTAATTGTTGCAGACTATAGGGGGTGCTGCTCACCTCTGTTTCAAGGCCAAAGAGCCAGCACTGTTTGCAAACATTTCCACGGTCATGTGGCCAGCATGATGTCACAGAACGCCGTTACATTCCCACTGAAGTGGTACCTATTTATCTACTCACATTTGCATGCTTTCAAACTGCTAGTCGGGCAAGAGCCAGGGCGAGGACGGAAGCTCACCCCATCCCATGGAGCTCGGGTCTCGAACCTGGTCTGCTGGCTTCTCAGCCAACAAGCTCAGTATCTTAACCAGTGAGCTGCTGTGCTGCTCACATAGAACAGTCCAGTGGACATATTTTGGAAGAGAAAAATTCCCTGACGATGGGCTCCAGCACAAGCCTGAAAGCTTTGAAAAAGAAAGCTTTGATCAAGGTGATAGACTCAGACTGGATCCTGCAATGTTGTGGATGACACAGTGTTCACATATACTATAGAGGACTTATTGTTTGAACTATGTTGGGCCTGTTTCAAAGCTTAAAATTCAACATTCATATACTTCTTGCCTTAAAATGGCAGGAAATATCTCCAATGTTCAGTCATCAGGGAGGACTGGCATAGGTCAGGGATAGGCAACCGTGGCTCTTTTATGACTCGTGGACTTCAACTCCCAGAATTCCTAGCCAGTATGACTCAGCTTAGAAACTCTCCCTTTCCTCTCAGCATAGCTGACAGGAATTCTGGGAGTTGAAGTCCACGAGTCATAAAGCGGCCTAGGCCTAGGCCAGGCATAGGCAACTTTGGCTCTTTTATGACTCATGGACTTCAACTCCCAGAATTCCTGAGCCAGCATGGCTCAGCTTAGAAACTCTCCCTTTCCCCTCAGCATGGCTGGCTCAGGAATTATGGGAGTTGAAGTCCATGAGTCATAAAAGTGCCAAGGTTGCCTATCCCTGGCGTAGGTGCATGAAACAGGCCAGAATTTGCTGGTTGCCCAACCTGACTTAAAAGTCTAATAAAGTGATTGCCAGTTCCAGTGTGAAATTCTGACAGAGTATCATCTCTCAGAACTAAAACTTGCAGGAGCAGATTAAATATTTATTCACTCCAGAAGTATGATTTAAAAAAAAAAGCATATCTGCCTGCCCTTTTGATGGGTCATTTCTTAATAGATCTGTTGTGCAGAATAGGACTTTACTTAGAACCAGGCTCTTGATTTCAATATGAGATTTTCTGATGGGTAGCCTGCAAAGAGATGTTTAAAAGGAGATGTAGCAACCATGGCTACACAGTTAACCATTTTGACTTTTTTTGATGCTGCCCTGAAGATATTCTGACCTAAGCAATCTTAACGACAGATGAGGCACCTTGAAGCAACAAAGCTTCTAGAATACAGATAGTCCTTGACTTACAACCATTTGTTGAGTGGTTACATACAAAGTTACAACAGCACTTTAAAAAAGGTGACTTACAACTGTTTTTTTCACACTTATGACCGTTGCAGCATCTCCATGGTCACATGATCAACATTCAGAGGCTTGGCAACTGACTCATATTTATGATGGTGGCCGTGTCCCAGGGTCATGTGATCACCTTTTGCAACCTTCTGAGAAAGAAAGTTGATGGGGAAGCCAGATTTACTTAACAACCGTGTTACTAACTTAACAACTATGATGACTCACTTAACATCGGTGGCAAGAAAGGTCATAAAATGGGGGCAAAACTCACTTAACAACTGTCTCACTTAGCAACAGAAATTTTTGGCCTCAATTGTAAGTTGAGGATTAGCTGCAATGTTTTTCAACCTCAGCAACTTTTAAGGTGCATCATGGATTTCAGCTCCCAGAATTCCCCACCCAGCATGGCTGGCAGAAGAATTCTGGAAGCTGAAATCCACACATCTTAAAGTTGCCAAGGCTGAATACACTGTGCTGGAAGAACAGGAGATAGGATGAAAAAAGAAGAGCAATAAGAACACAACCAACCATGTGCTGTGGTACATGACAGAGCAACATCTTAAACCAGTTCTTGTGATTTTAATTATTGTACATTTCCCCTAACCTCTATTTATATTTGTGCATAAACAAGAAATGTAGAGAAGAAGAAGAAGAAAAAATCACTTTGTAGAAGCTGCATAGCTTTGCTGTTTGAAATCAGTTTTTTACTTGGGAACGGCATTGGTTGAACAGCGTTTCTAAGCCTGGAATAATATTTGTTTTTTTCTTCTGCTCTCTTGCAGGCATCAGCTATAAAAACAAGCCTATTGTGTACGTGCACCATAATTATCCTAAGTTGTAAAGATACAGATACATTCCATTGGCAAAGAGCGAGAGGGAGGGAGGGATGGAGGGAGGGAGGGAGGGAGGGAGGGGGAGGGAGCGAGGGAAGGAGGGAGAGAGGGGGGGAAGAAAGGAGGAAGGAAGGGAGGCAGGCAGGGAGGGAGGCAGGGAGGGAGAGGAAGAGGGAGAGGCGGAGGGAGAGGCGGAGGGAGAGAAAGGGGGGAAAGGGAGAGGGAGGGAGGCAAGGAGGGAGAGGAAGAGGGAGGCGGAGGGAGAGAGAGGGGGGAAAGGGAGAGGGAGGGAGGCAGGGAGGGAGAGGAAGAGGGAGGCGGAGGGAGAGAGAGGGGGGAAAGGGAGAGGGAGGGAGGCAGGGAGGGAGAGGAAGAGGGAGGCGGAGGGAGAGAGAGGGGGGAAAGGGAGAGGGAAGGAGGCAGGGAGGGAGAGGGAGACGGGGAGGGAGGGAAATGAAGAGGGAGATGGGGAGGGAGGGAGGGAGAGAGAGAGAGTGAGGGAGAGAGAGAGAGAGAGAGAGAGAGAGAGAGATCTTCAGAGGGAGCACACAAAGTATAAGGCACACATTTAGAATCACTCCAGTAGACTTTAAGCAAAAACAGCCCACGGTTTCTTCATCTGGAAGAGCCATTTATAAGTAGTGAGTTTTATGTTTAAGCGCTGGCATTAGCTTTTGTGCACCAGTCTGAACAATCAGTTCTCCCTGCTTTCCTCTTTTCATCCCAAATCTCTCTCCTCTTATGCAGTTATAGACGCTAGGTCCTCAGAGAACAAATACTTCCCTGATGACAAGGAATCTCCATCACAGACCAGTCCACTGCAATGGACTCTTGAAACCTTAAATACAGTCTTATTTGATGAAGTAATTGTTTTTCTATTGGCCTGTAGGTTTTTTTTAATATCTTTTAATAAACCACCTGGAAGCTTAGGGAGTTTGGCATCCAAATTGGATGGACGGATAGACAGACAGACAGACAGACAGACAGACAGACAGACAGACAGATAGATAGATAGATAGACAGACTAATGCCATGCCACCAAATAGGGAAAGAACTTTTGAACCAACAGCAATAGCACTTAGACTTATATACCACTTCGCAGTGCTGTACAGCCCTCTCCAAGCGGTTTACAGAGTCAGCATATTGACCCCCAACAATCTGGGTCCTCATTTTACTGACCTCGGAAGGATGGAAGGCTGAGTCAACCTTGAGCTGATGAAAATCGAACTCCTGGCAGTGAGCATTGAATTTGCCTGCAATACTGAATTGTAACTACTGCACCACCACAACTAAATAAAGGAGAATATTTGTAACTCAGGGTTGAAATAAGGTATCCTTGGTGCTCTATGAGGTTTGTTGTTTTCTTGCCTACGTTTCATTACCCTAACTAGGTCAGATCATCATCAGGAAAACTACCAATCTCAGGGAGCACCTCAGAACTTTAGAACTTTAAATATGCAACTTACATCTCAACGCTGGGCTCAGTACTTAAATTTTAGCCATCATGCAGAAACTACTTGAGAAACAGAAAAATAAACACCATTCCACCCAATACTACATCATTAGGATGTAGCCAATCTTGCCTCTTTTATGACTCGTGGACTTCAACTCCCAGAATTCCTGAGCCAGCCACGCTGAGGGGAAAGGGAGAGTTTCCAAGCTGAGCCATGCTGGCTCAGGAATTCTGGGAGTTGAAGTCATAAAAGAGCCAAGGTTACCTACCTCTGGCCTAGGCTTAGGCCTCTTTATGACTCGTGGACTTCAACTCCCAGAATTCCTGAGCCAACAATGCTGAGGGGAAAGGGAGAGTTTCCAAGCTGAGCCATGCTGGCTCAGGAATTCTGGGAATTGAAGTCCACGAGTCATAAAAGAGCCAAGGTTGTCTATCCCTATCCTAGGATGAAGATTAAGAGCAGGGGTCTTCAAACTTGCCCCTTTTATGACTTGTGGACTTCAACTCCCAGAATTCCTGAGCCAGCCATGCTTGAGGGGAAAGGGAGAGTTTCCAAGCTGAGCCATGCTGGCTCAGGAATTCTGGGAGTTGAAGTCCACAAGTCATAAAAGAGCCAAGGTTGCCTACCCTGCCCTAGGATGAGAGTAGAAATGCTGGCCTTGAAAGGCAGCGTAAAGATAGACTTAAAAAAAAATAGAGAGCATGTTTGATTTTTCACATTATGACAGCAGCTGGCTAGAGTCAGCCTGAGTAATCATTCTGGTCAATGCACAACATGATGTGCTAAGCACACCGATTCTCCCATACTATGTAACTGGGACAACGAACAAGCTCACCTTGAGGCTTTTCGGACTCTGGCTTTTTCGAAAGAAAACCGAGGTTGCTCAGTTAGGTCGTATGTTCGGGTGGTCGGCTCTGCAGATACTCCTTCCTTGGCTCCCCTCCTCCTAGTGCTGCCTGCCATTTGGCTGGCCCTGGGTGTCTCTGTAAGGCTGGGGAAAAGGAAAGGATTTGTCCCTTGAGTGACCACGACATCTTGTAGCTTGTTCAGCTGGATACATTTACACTTCAGCTCCTCGGTAAGGTCTCCGATGGTCTTAGTCTGCTTGGCGAGCTGCTCCTGAAGCTCTAAGATGTGATAGTTCCTTTCGTGTAACTCTTCCTCCTGCCTCTTCAGTTCTTTCTCAAGCTCCCAAATCTTCCCTCTCAGGATATCTGCAGCTCCTGTTATTGTACTGATGCTCAGCCCCGGGTCTTTCAGGGTCTTGCCGCAACCGGAACAACCAAAAGGACAGGTTCCGACATGGATATCCGACCTCTTTGGGTACCTGGGTTTCACCGAACCATTTCCCATTGGGGCTGGTGACCTAGGCAAAGAAAACAGATCAAACCTTGTGGCAAAGTTGTAGGAAAGGGTGGGGAGTGTCATGGGAACAATCAGAGCCTAGATTGGACAGTTGTTGATCTGGGATAATATAAGGTCTTGTCAAGGTCCCGTCCAGCTCCTGTGAAAGAATTTTTTTAAGCTATCTATCTATCTATCTATCTATCTATCTATCTATCTATCTATCTATCTATCTATCTATCTATCTATCTATCTATCTATCTTATTATCTCTCTATCTGCCTGTCTGCCTCTCTGTCTGTCTCTCTATCTGCCTATCTGCCTGCTTGCCTGCCTGCCTTCCTGCCTATCTATCTATCTATCTATCTATCTATCTATCTATCTATCTATCTGCTATATCTATCGCTCTATTATCTTTCTATCTGCCTATCTGTCTACATCTATCTATCTGTCCTATCTATCTATCTATCTATCTATCTATCTATCTATCTATCTATCTATCTATCATCTCTCTATCTGCCTATCTGCCTGTCTGCCTCTCTGTCTATCTATCTGCCTATCTGCCTATCTATCTATCTATCTATCTATCTATCTATCTATCTATCTATTATCTGTCTATCTATCTTATCATCTACTGTATTTATCTAACTACATTTCCTTTTAAGAACTCAGTATTATAGAAAGTAATAATCATAAGTAACTTTGCTCAGTATGACTGTTAGTAAAATAAATAAATGTAATGCAAAAAGCTTGTTTGGCAGAGGAAAAAAATATCCAATAAATATTACCAAGTGAATAGCAAGGAAGTAAAAAAATTCCGTACAATGAGAAAAGCTCCTGTTCCAGTGAATCAGCCAATATATGCTATATCTAGGCTATTTTATTTTATTTTATTTGTATCCCACCTTTTTTATTTTTACAGATAACTCAAGGTGGAAAACATATCCAACATGCCTTACTCCTCCACTTTTCCTCACAATAACCCTGTGAGATGGGCTGGGCTGAGAGAGAGCGGCTGGCCCAAAGTCACCCAGCCGATTTTCATGCCTAAGGCAGGACTAGAACTCACCATCTCCTGGTGATTGGCCCAGTCACCCAGCTGGCTTTCATGCCTTAAGGCGGGACTAAAACTCACCATCTTCTGGTGATTGGCCCAAAGTCACCCAGCTGGCTTTCATGCCTAAGGCGGGACTAGAACTCACCATCTCCTGGTGATTGGCCCAAAATCACCCAGCAGGCTTTCATGACTAAGGCAGGTCTTGAACTCCTGGTTTTTTGTTTTCCAGCCTGGTGCCTAAACTAAACAGCAGAACACTTTTTTGCCAACCGCTTCAAACCCAAAGCCTATGTTTTTCGCTGCAAACTTTAATTACAAAACTTTTTCATACTCAAACTTAGATTCTGAACTCAGATGATTGGCAGAAAAATCAAACCAAACTTTAGAAATCTAGAACAGGAGAGGTGAGCTGAGGTGAGAAAACATTTACTTAATCCTTGTAAAAGAACTGAAAATTTTTAAGGGGAAAATGTGCAGAAATTTCCATATCACACAGGATTTTAAAAAAAAAAAAAACTGGGAAATCTCTGCAATCAACAGAGCACTTTGCAAACCTAAAATGCGGAGTTATCAAACCAACAGAGAGACAGAGACTGTCAAATCTGCAAATGCCAAAGTAATCAAACAGCCAGGTATGTGTTCTCATCCACCACCACCCCTTCCTGTAATTCCTACTGATTTTGCCTCCAAAGGATTTTCTTCATGCTGCTTCACTCTCATTTATTGTTCAATGCTTTCACAGGCTCAACAAATCTTGGCATAATGCAAGTTGAAAAGACCTTTTTTGGACAGGGTATTTTTAGTGAGTGTGTGAGCAAAGAAACCTGGACAAAAATGGAACAATTCATAGATCCTGACCCAGCATGGAGAAATCCTCAGATGTTGTGTGAATTGTTTTGTTTTTTTTCACAAGGCCAACATTTACTTAGAGTAACCTGCTAACTTCAGAGAAGGCAAACTGGCTATTCTCTTGGACAAAATGTCACAGCTATAAATGCATATAACCAAATAAACGGGTTATTTTTTTCTCCGTGGGGTGTCTGGGCTCTGTTTCCCAAGTCAAAAGATCTCCCACACGGATACAGGTAAAGGATCATTTCCTGCCAGAAGGAAGCCCAAATCTAAGACCAAACTGAACCTTGAAAATTACATCTGGCTGAGTTAATTGATATCTTTCATGATGGACTTAGCCCCGATGGCTATTTTTGTATCTTTCCATTATAACATCGAGCAAATGAAAACCTCCCTTTTAATTAAAACGGAATGGAATTCTCTTGTTTATAAGTAGTCCTTGGCTTACAACAGTTTATTCAGTGACCGTTCAAAGTTACAACGGCACTGAAAAATGTGACTTATGACCATTTTTCACACATACGACCGTTGCAGCATTCCGATGGTCACACGATCAAAATGCAGATGCTCGGCAACTGACTCACATTTATGACGGTCGCAGTGTCGCGGGATCATATGATCATCTTTTGTGACCTTCTGACAAGCAAAGACAATGAGGAAGCCAAATTCATTTAACAACCGTGTTACTAATTTAACAATTGCAGCCATTCACTTAACAAATATGAAAAGGAAGATCGTAAAATGGGGTAAAACTCACTTAACAAATGTCTTACTTAGCAACAGAATGTTTGGCTCAATTGTGGTCGTGAATCGAGTACCACCTGTATTCGCCTTCATTGAAATGCAGTTCTCTTCCTAACTTTGGATCCCAATGGATCCAAATTTACTGAGTGAACCTCTAGAGCAGTGGTTCTCAACCTGTGGGTCAGGACCCCATTTGGGGTCGAACAACCATTTCACGGGGGTCGCCAAACAACGCAGTCCGCCATTTTTTTCCCCTTTTTCCTTAGCTGTGCTACTCCCTTTTGAATAGAGTCTAATTCTATTGGCTTTCAAAAGCCAATAGGAATTGTCCGGGCTGTCTCTGCCCTGCTGAGCCCGCCAAAAGTCCCATTCTGCAAACGGTGCTGCACCAGTTGAGTAGTCCTCGACTTACGACCGGTTGAGTAGTCCTCGACTTATGACCGGTTGGGGGTCGTGGCATTAAAAAGGTTGAGAACCACTGCTCTAGAGTAGAGAGGGAATTTGGATCAGGACCTCCCAACTCTTGGTCCAACAACTCCACCACATGTCTTGCATAATACTATAAATTAGTATTCTCAACCTCGACACCTTCGAGATTATGGACTTCAATTCCCAGAATTCCCCAGACAGCCTGAGAGTTGACATCTACACATCTTAAGGATGCCAAAATAGATTAACACAGATCTACAATATCTAAAGTTTTTTTTTCTCTTTTGCTAGAAATGCAGCTTTTAGTGAAGCAAAAAGGAAAGAGTTCCTCATCCCCAGCTCTAATATGTTAAAAAAAAAAGAGAACCTCTTATGACTTGAACTTTTCCAGAAGGATCCATTGCATCTGACGTGCACATTCATACACAAACTGTTGCTAATGTTTCCTCAACCTACTACATTTCAGTTTTACTGGATGATAGGGATACATGATAACAGGGGAGCTGAATCACCCCATACTGGAGAAATTGGACATACTTAGTAAACTTGTAGTAATCGCCAAAACTTTGGCTTGCACAGAAAAATAAAAACCTTCCATCTATCTCTTTTGCTAGTGCTATTTAATTAACCAACAGAGGAACCCAAATATGAGATGAAGTCACATCAGAATTTCAATAATAATAATAATAAGAAGAAGAAGAAGAAGAACAATGATGAAGATGCACTGAAATTAGTATATCAGGAAGGCTTACTGACTACTGGAGAGACCAAACTGGCCTTCAAGAAAGACCAAATGAAGAACAGAATAGAGGCATGGGAAGACAAAGCACTACATGGCCAATACATGAAAAAAATAGCTGGGAAAGCAGATAATAATAAAACCTGGCAATGGCTAAGAGCAGGAAAATTGAAGAAAGAGACCGAGGGACTAATTCTGGCTGCACAAGACCAAGCCTTAAGGACAAATGCATATAAAGTCAAAATTGAGAAGACAGCAACAGACAGTAAGTGCCGCCTATGCAAAGAAGCTGAAGAAACAGTGGACCACTTGGTAAGCTGTTGCAAGAAGATTGCACAAACGGATTACAAGCAGCGGCATGACAAAGTAGCAACAATGGTGCATTGGAAGATCTGCAAAAAAATATCATTTGCCTGTAAGCAAAAACTGGTGGGATCATAAAATAGAGAAAGTCATAGAAAATGATAAAATTAAACTGCTCTGGGACTTCAGAATTCAAACAGACAAGCACCTGCAACATAACACCCCAGACTTAACAATTGTCGATAAGAAAGACAAAAAAGTCTGGATAGTGGATGTGGCAGTGCCTGGAGACAGCAGAATAGAAGAGAAAGAACTGGAGAAGATAACAAAATACAAAGACCTACAAATAGAAATAGAAAGACTGTGGCAAAAGCAAGCAAGGGTAGTACCAATAGTCATAGGCTCCTTGGGTGCAATCCCAAAACAACTGGAGCACCACTTGAACACCATTGGCATTGACAAATTCGCTATTAGTCAATTGCAAAAGGCGGCCTTACTAGGAACTGCTTCCATCCTGCGACGATACCTGTAATACCATCAAACATCCACATCTGCCTATCCCAGGTCCTGGGTAAGGACTCGATAGGTAGACAAAATGCCAAATCCAGTCTGAACATCTGGCTGACTGTGCGATGAATGATAATAGTAGTAGTAGTAGTAATAAATGGGATCTTGGAGGTCATCTAGTCCAACCCCCTGCTCAGGCAGGAAACCCTATACCATTTCACACAAATAAATGGCTGTCCAGTCTTTCTTCTTCTACCCACAAGAATCCATAAAGACACTGGTGACCCAACTCCAATCAACCCCCCCTGGGCTCCATTGTTACATCTTGAGAATGGTTTGGCTATCACCTTTGCGCCCACCACCGATAGAGTGAGACAGTCAAACAGAATGAATACTCCTATTACATAAACTTGATTTATCCCCGCGTACTCTAAGGCATGGAGAAAAGGGAGAAAAACTACCCGGCATAGATTTATATCTCTTTCATGAAAATTATCCTGATCATAGTCTCTTCTTTGATATTCTTGTCCAATCATCTCCTCCAGAAAAGGCATAAGGAATCTATTGCAGTTTTGAAGGGGGGGGGGGAAGCCTGAGATACAATCTGTTTATGGAAAGAAGAGACCACAATTCAGTGTACACAAAAGCCTCCTCTTACACCCACAAAATGAAGCATCTTCGCTGATGTCAAGTGCCGGGAGACAACGGGACTTCTGTGGTTCTCTGAACCTCGTTGTATTTCGAATGGCAACATGTGCTACCCAAAGCCCACCAACCTTGAAGTGAAGCCTTCTTCTAGCCAGGGGTCCTGAAGCAACGCGTAGGGCCCCTCCCAACACAGGGCTGCCGGCCACTGGCAAGCAAGCATCTCTCACCCAGAACCTTAACACCCCCCACCCCAACCTGAAGCTATAACCTGGGGAATGGGGGTGCACTAAGACATTAGCCCGGTGGATTGTTCTTACAATCATAACAGTAGGCAGCAGCTCAGGTCAACTAACGAATTGTTCTCCAGGGGTCAATCCTTCCGGACCCCCCCCCCTTCCCCTCCAGTCCTTGCTATCTATTCGGTTCCATTCCCACGACATCCCGCTGCACGTTAACCAGGCGCGCTTTTCCGGTCTGGATGGAGGCAGCGATCCCCAAGTGAGCGTGAACCGGAGAATCCCGTCCTGAAAATGGAGACAAGCCATCCCGTGCAAAGGAGGGGGGGTCGTAGCTTGTCCCCCCTCCCCCGCCGACAGGCTCGCCTTCCCCTCTCCAGCCCAAGCAGGGGATGCCCACAGCACCGCGGCGCCTCCGTCCTACACGTGAACTGCCGATAGGGTGGCGGGTGCCCCCCGACAGTCCCCTTCTCCCAGCGCGCGCGCCTGCGTCCTCCTCGCCTCTCCTTCCCGCAGCTTCGCCGCCTTTGCCGTACTCACCTGCCCCGCTCGGGCGGTCGGGCAGCCCTACCCGCGCCCCGGCCGCTTCCTTCGCTCTCCTACAAGACCGGAGCCGGCTGGCCCCTGGCGCGGAGCAGCAGCAGCAGCAGCAGCAGCAGCGTCTGGCGAGCGAGCGAGCGAGCGACCAAGCGAAAAGCAGCCAGGCGGACAGGCAGTGCGCAGAAGGCGGGCAGCGCGTCGCGTGGGCACCTCTGCCGCCGCCCCGACTGCTCGGGAGAACCGAGGAGGACCGTCAGGCACGCAGGCGGGGGGGGGCTGCCTGGCGGGGGGGCGGGGGAGGGGCGAGGCGAGCGAGGGACCGGCCCGCCCGGGCTAGTAGGGAAGGCAGCGGCGCTGCATCGGGCCCGCGCGCCGAGGACCGGCTTGTTTACGGCAGGAATGCGCGCGGCACCCACCGTGCGAGGAATCGGGAGGGCCGGCTCGGTGGGATTCACACGTGCTTTGCGAGTGGGATGACTTGCTTGTGTGAATGCGGTAGTCTTAAGTAGGGAGGGTTTCTTTCTTTCTTTCTTTCTTTCTTTCTTTCTTTCTTTCTTTCTTTCTTTCTTTCTTTTTCTCTCTTTTTTCTTTCTTTCTCTCCCTTCCTTCCTTCCTTCTTTTTTTCCTTCTTTTCCTTCCTTCCTTCTCTTTCTTTCTTGTTCTCCCTTCCTTCCTTCTCTTTCTTTTCTTCTTTCTTTCTTTCTTTCTTTCTTTCTTTCTTTCTCTTTCTCTCTTTTTTCTTTCTTTCTCTTCCTTCCTTCCTTCTTTTTTTCCTTCTTTTCCTTCCTTCTCTTTCTTTCTCTCCCTTCCTTCCTTCTCTTTCTTTTCTTCTTTCTTTATTTCCTACCTTCCCTTTCTTTTCTTTCTTTCCTTCCTTCCTCCCTTCTCTTTCTTTTCCTTCCTTCCTTCCTTCCTTCCTTCCTTCCCTTTTCTTTCCCTCCCTCCCTCCCTTTCTTCTTTCCTATAAAGTTATAACTAGAAGTTAGCATAGATTTGTTTAAAAACAGATGCCAAACCAATCTTATTTCATTCTTTGACAAAGTGACTAAATTAGTAGACCAGCGAAATGCTGTGGACACAGTATATTTAAACTTCAGCAAGGCATTTGACAAAGTAGACCACAACCTACTAGAAAAATATGGGACAGACAGCATCACCACCAGATGGATTTGTACCTGGCTAACAAACCATACTCAACGAGTTGGTCTTAATGGTACTACATCTACATCAGCGGTTCTCAACGTTTGTGTGACGGCGACCCCCGTCACACAAACGTTATGTGCATGCGCGGCACGGCGCGCATGGGGGTGGGGCCCCCGCACGCGGTGCGCATGCGCGGTGCCCCCCGCGCGCGGCGTGCATGGGGGCGGGCCCCCGCACACGGCGCGCACGCGCGGCGCCGCTCCCCAGAGGCACGGCGTCGCCCCCCATGCACGGCACGCATGTGCGGCGCCGCCCCCCAGAGGCGCGCCGCTGCCCCACGCGCGGCGCACATGCGTGGCGCCACCCCCCGGAGGCGCGCCGCCGCCCCCCACGCGGCGCACGTGCACGGCACCGCCCCCCGGAGGCGCGGTGCGCCCCCGGAGGCGACAAAATGGCGGATCGCCGCGTTTGGCAACCCCACAAAAGAGGTCGATCAACCCCAAATGGGGTCGCGACCCATAGGTTGAGAACCGCTGATCTACATGGAGAGAGTAAGCAATGAGCTACCACAAATTTCCATCTTAGGCCCAGTACTCTTCAATATGTTCATAAATGACTTAGATGAGAGAATAGAAGGGGAACTCATCAAATTTGCAGATGACACTAAGCTAGCAGGAATAGCCAACACCCCAGAAGACAAGCTGGGTGACATGATAGCAGTATTCCACTTCTTGAGGGGCTGCCACAAAGAAGGGGGGAGGTCAACTTATTTTCCAAAGCACCAGAAGGCAAGACAAGAAAAAATGAATGGAAACTAAGCAATGAGAGAAGCAACCTGAAACTTCCTAAAAGTGAGGACAATTAAGCGGTGGAACAGCTTGTCTTCAGAAGTTGTGGGCGCTTCATCACTGGAGGTTTTTAAGAAGAGACTGGACAGCCATCTGCCTGAAATGCTATAGGGCAGTGGTGGCAAACCTATGGCACGGGTGCCAGAGGCGGCACTCAGAGCCCTCTCTGTGGGCACATGCGCCATCGCCCCAGTCCTAGGCCTTCAGCTGGATTTTATAAAACCTTTTCGCTTTAGGCCTCCATCGCCATGTGCAAAAAAAAAAAAAGGTTCAATCAGTTAATTTCAACTTCTCGCGGGGGGGGGGGGAAAGATCTTGCAAAGTTGGAATTGATTGATTGAACTTTTTAGTCCCACCCAGTCTGCCATTACCACCGCAGTCACGCCCACTCAGTGGGCCACACCCAGCCAATGGCCACACCCACCCGGCACCCAACGATGCATAAGTGGGTTTTGAGTTGTAGTTTGGGCACTCGGTCTCTAAAAGGTTCGCCATCACTGGTGTAGGGTCTCCTGCTTGAATGGGGTGGGACTAGAAGCCTTCCAAGCTCAATACTGATTGATTGATTTTCTTTCTCTCTTTCTGTTCCTTCCTCCCTCCTTCCCTCCCTCCCTCCCCTCCCCTCCTCTTTCTCATTCTCTTTCTTCTTTTTCCTCTCCTTCCTTCCTTCCATTCCATTCCTTCTTTCTTTCCCTTTCCCTTTTCCTTTCTTTTCCTTCCTTCCTTCCCTCCCTTGCTTTCTTTTCCTTCCTTCCTTTCCTTCCCTCCCTCCCTTACTACCTACTTTCTTGTTCTTTTTCTCCTTCCTTCCTTCCTTCCTTCCTTCCTTCCTTCCTTCCTTCCTTCCTTCCTTCCTCCCTCCCTCCCTCCCTCTTTCTTTCTTTCTTTCTTTCTTTTCTATCCCTTCCTTCCTTTCCACCTCAACTTCTTCTTTTCAGCCTGTTCCCTCGGGAAATGGCAGAGTAAATGCTGCCTATTTATATGACTAGCATTTGTTTTCAGAAATGTATGCGGCCCGTTCCTCTTTAGGACACTAACCGACTTACAAGTAATGGTGTCCGTAATCCTGTTTTCCACCAGGCTGAGAAGTTCTTTAAAAACTCTTTTTGAATCCCTAAGAAAGGCTGAGTTTGACTCAGGATAATTGAAGCTCAGATGAATCTGTGAAAGCCTCTTTTGTTTTTACTTTTATCCTAGTTTCACACGTGCAAGCTCCTACTGAGCAATGCAACACAACTGCAAACCTAATCTTCCAGAAACAAGGTTGACATATAGAATCTTTAATGATTAACCAAATAAGTATGTTTATTGGCAAAGGATTTTTTTTAAAAAATCTGGGCTTGAGACAGTTAGGTGTGCCAAGATACACACAGTTTACATAATGGTTGAAACTTGTTAATAATCTATTATGCCTTAGATATTTTCTAAGCAGGGAAGAATGCGAGGAAGACTTTTCCATCACAGCTAAGAAACAACCAAAAGCAAGCACATTGGAGAAAAACCAAAGCCATTGTATAAAAGGAAGAGTTGCAAAATTAAGGCATCGTAGAATTTTTACTTATTTATTTATATCCCACCTTTATTATTTTTATAAATAACTCAAGGCAGTGAACATAACTGATATTTCTCCCTTCTCCTATTTCCCCAACAACAAGAAACCTGTGAGGACTGAGAGAGTGCGACCAGCCCAAAGTCTCCCAGTTAGTTCTCATGGCTAAGGCAGGATTAGAACTCACCGTCTCCTGGTGATTGGCCCAAAGTCACCCAGCCGGCTTTCATGCCTAAGGCGGGACTAGAACTCACTTTCTCCTGGTGATTGGCCCAAAGTCACCCAGCCGGCTTCCATGCCTAAGGCGGGACTAAAACTCACTCTCTCCTGGTGATTGGCCCAAAGTCACCCAACCGGTTTTCATGCCTAAAGCGGGACTAGAACTCACAGTCTTCCAGTTCCTAGTCTGGTTGGTGACTTAACCATTAGACCAAACTGGCATAATACAATATTTCAAAAATATGGTGCTGAAGCTGAAGCCCTATGAATCTTGATTTCGTTCATTGAATCAGTTGAAACCGTTACTATTTCCCGCATGGTGGGCTTGGGACAAGAAAAAAAATATGCAATCACAAATAAAGGGACCACAATTTTTTTTCTCTGTCAGAATTATGAGCCAGCAGTGTGCAGCAGCAACCAAAAAAGCTAATACAATCCTGGGTGGTATAAACAGGCATAGAATCAAGATCACGTGAAGTATTATTACCGCTTTACAAAGCACTAGTTCTCAACCTGTGGGTCGGGACCCCATTTGGGGTCGAACGACCATTTCACGGGGGTCACCAAACAACGCAGTCCGCCATTTTTTTTTTTTGCCCTTTTCCTTAGCTGTGCTACTCCCTTTTATTCTATTGGCTTTTGAAAGCCAATAGAATAGACTCTCTTGAATAGAGTCTAATTCTATTGGCTTTCAAAAGCCAATAGGAATTGTCCAGGCTGTCTCTGCCCTGCTGAGCCCGCCAAAAGTCCCATTCTGTAAACGGTGCTGCACCAGTTGAGTAGTCCTCGACTTATGACCGGTTGAGTAGTCCTTGACTTACGACCAGTTGGGGTCGTGGCACTAAAAAGGTTGAGAACCACTGCCCTAGAGTAAGACCACGCCTGGAATACTGCAGTCAATTTTGGTCACCATATCACAAAAAAGATGTTGAGAGTTTGGAGAAAATTCAGAGAAGAGCAACTAAGATGATCAAAGGCCTGGAGACTAAAGCATACGAAGAACGGCTGCGGGACTTGGGTTTGGCTAGTCTAAAGAAAAGAAGAAACGGGTGACGTGATAGCAGTATTCCAGTATTTGAGGGGCTGCCACAAAGAAGAGAGGGTCAAATTATTCTCCAAAGTACCAGAGGGCAGGACCAGAAACAATGGTTGGAAACTGACCAAAGAGAGAAGCAACCTGGAATTAAGGAGAAACTTCCTAACAGAGAGGACAATTAACCAGTAGAACAGCTTGCCTCCAGAAATCGTGGGTGCTGCATCACTGCAGGTTTTTAAGAAGAGATTAGACAGTCACCTGTCTGAGATGGTATAGGTTCTCCTGCTTGGGAAGGGAGCTGGACTAGAAGACCTCTGAGGTCCCTTCCAGCTCTATTCTATTCTCTAAGATTTGCAAAGGAAAAATGGCAACAGATTATTATGGCATATTCCCCTGTTAAATTTCTGCCCGTTATGCAACTAATAATAGAGCTAGAAACATGGATGC